CCGAATATATCTAGCGAGAATTCCTTCCGCGTCAGTAAATAAAACGCACGTTAATTTATTGCAGTTTGGTTTCGAGCTACTTCATGGATCTGGAAAGCTGAGCGCGATTCCAATTCCCAACTTTGATACGGGGCAACGTTCAGGTCTGGGAACTTGCAAGAAACTACGAATGGTGGACCACAATTCTTACAGAGGTTCGAAAAAAATCCACCAACCATTTATCCAAAGAAAAAGGTAAGGTGTAAGCCAGCCAACTTCGCCCTTAAGTGCCCTACTTCCCTAGACTAGTATCTCCATGTTTGATCTCCTGTCCGTGTTGGACAGATAAAACGATTGAAAGCCCTTCCCATGACGCTCAGTCTATAGTTTTTGATAAAAAAATTGGAATACAATGCACCTCTGTCCCATCACAAAATGCTTCCATATACACATAGTTAAATGAAATGTTAATGTAATTATGATCATAATGTAATAACTATTTCCTGCACTCAGAGGAGACATCAATCAATCCATCTGTTTCTTTTTTAAAAAGATCATTAATTTAAACAATGGATTGATATGTCTTTGGATGGTTAAACTCACCTCCAAATTCTTTGTAAAATAACTAAGATGGGTCCATCCTTGAAAAATTAGATACTAATTCAGATATATAATCTCCAGAGCTATTAAATCAATGATTACTAACAGTTATATGTTAAGTGTACCAGTGGAAGTGCATGCTATAATTTATGCCCAAAGGTTAAGTTCAGAATAAGTTAATTTCAGTGTCCAAATAAATTAACTATCAATGTGTCCTTTTGGAAAAATGTTAGCAAACAACAAATTTAATAAAATGGGATAAGGGAAATGGTTGCAATGGGAGCTTAATGCTCACCTAGAAAAACATCATCATTAAAGAAGTTAAGGTTGCTAAGGTATTTTGCCATCTTTTTATGACTTCTTTATACACAAAACTGAGTCCTCCCCAAGAAGAGAACACAGCTCCATTAATCTCTGCTGCATCTTAGGAACTCCTGCAAGCTGGGATTCAAGTTTCTGTTTCTCTTCATTTAGTGTAAGTCTGGTGGCAGTGTTCAGTTTTTCCCAGCGCCACCCACCTTCTCCATCAAACTGAAGCAAATGTGTGTGAAATTTCCTGCAAGAAAAAAAAGAGCCTGGGTCTTTGATGTACTAATACTGTGATGGGAAGTCAAATGGGCCTTATCCAATCCACCATGATACTCTTTTGTCAGAAAACACACATACTTTTGAAACACATTTTTGCCCATTACCCAAACCAAAATGCACAAAATTGCAGATAAAAACAGAAACTCATTATTTACAAACAGGTTCAAAAGTGGAGTCTAAAGAAAGTACTGTTAAGTAAATGCAATGACTGCAGCCTTGCATGTTAAGCTATACATGTAGGTGTTGTACTTCAGATGCTTTCATGTAGCTCCTGGGAACCTAGACCTTGCTGTATTTGTAGAAATGTGTGCACTGGCCTACAGTTTTTTACTCTGCTCTCATGGGAAGTGAACACCATAATTAAAATGGTAAGTGAATGAAAAAAGATCTCATCAAATAATTGTTTAGCAAATTACATTACATTACATTGCAACTACACAGATATTCTAATAAAATACAAACCAGAGCGAAGGTCTGTGTGAGATGCTCAATAGACTTATTCCTTCATCTTTAGCAGCTTGGAAAATACTCCCTTCTACATCGATGCTCACAGCACTAGTACACTCATCAAGAAGAGCAAACTGTGGCCTGCAAATCAGCCACATATCTTGATTATATAATTTCATTCATATACTATATATGTTATACCTGGTCCAGTATAACCCATTTAGGCTTTTAACCCCCATAAGTGACCAAGACAGAATTTCTCCTTACAATATCAATACAGTATCAAGCAGAGAAGTGAGATTATAAGTTGATCTAACACCAAACTCTCAATTACAACCAACATCATTAGAAATATATGCCATACAGCAGGGTTTTCAATAGAATTTTGTACAGCCGTTGCTGTGCCACCCCCATGTGTAACAGCTAANTTGGAGAGGCCTGGGCTAGAACCTACAACGTTGCGGAGAAGTTATGAAGCATAGCGATTGTTCGCTGTCAGGCTGTTCGTTTCGAAAACTAAAACCGACTAACATTCAATACTAAACTCAATTATCTCTGCACAAAGGCCTTCTTTTATTTGCATTTACTAGGCATTGATCTACTAGTCGAAGTGCTTTGACAGCCGTAACACTTACCAGTGACACCTGTGACAGGTGTTACAGGTTATGGGTTCAATTGAAAACCCTGCACACAGTGAGAAGAATTACTAGTGAGATCATGTGAGTACAAGGGTTAAAGTCTTTGATGACAGTACATCACTGTGATCAAAAATCCCCTTTTACAAAATAATGAACCTTTTTAAGGTTTTTATTCACATTTTTGCCCATAGCATTTTATTTCAGCTGCAAAAGCAGACCAATGAAAGCAAATTCTTGGTACAATTATACAGTCAAGTGAGATGGAAAGATGTTCAAATCAGCTAATATCAAGAGGTAAAAGATATGATTTTTATATCCATCAGGCTAATCAAAATAAGAAGAGTTCTAGATGATAATTATGATATACTTGTGATAGAAGAGACGTGCCATTCCCATTCTCTGTTTTTCTCCACCTGAGAAGACATCCTTCCATTCCTTGATAACATCCCACCCTTCCAAATTAAATACAGCATGTACAATCAGTTAATTGAAAACTATCCACTGAATAGATTGAACCTCAATGTTACAATTTTCTGCACCTGCATAGCTGACTCTTAGGGTTTAAAGGGTTACAACATACACACATATACACAATCATACAAACTCTTCTTCAGTGTAGGATCCTGACTTACTCGCGTTATGTTAAATTTCAAGTTTAATAAATAAGATTTCAAATGTCACTTTTTTTGGTAATAGTCCCTTTTACAGTTGTGGGCTTTGTGGCCAAGCCTTTGAATAGGAGTGAGGCTAAGGGTGACCCTGTTGTGATAAAGACCTGCTTCTAGTTAGCATGATAACAAAGTAATTTGCATTTGAAAAGCAGCAACATCTCTATCATGACAAGGTCACTTTAAGCCTCACTCCTGTTCAAAGTCTTGGCCACCAAGCCCACAACTGTAAAAAGGACTATTCACTGATCATCAAAGTATGACTTTTCTTAGATCATGATATTCAAAAATAAAATATAAGACCTCCTTCTCTTTTGATAATGTGCTGCAGGTGAACTGTGGCCAAAATAGTCTCTAAGTCATCATCGGTAATGCCATGGGCTTGCATGTCTTCTACAGTGTGAGGGTAAATCACCTGACCACGAAGTGAACCAATAGGCATGTAGGGTCTGATGAAAAAATAGCGATATTCTAACTATCAATTAATCACCACGTTCAATTCCTTAACAGTAAATAGTAACACAGGTTATCAGTTATTTGAACTGAGACAGTTACAGGACAATACAGTGTTGAATAGTTCTGTAGTTACCAGGAATAAATAACCCACACCAGCCATTTCAACCCCTGGCCCAAGTTGTTTGAAACACAATCAAGCAAATTGAGAAAACTGACTGAGGTTAAGAGGATTTTTTTCAATAATATTATGGAAGATTTATTTTTACTGAATAATTAATTGTTACAAAGTGTAATTGACTGGAAGAAGAGGTAAATTACAAAGTGTAATTGACTGAGAGAAGAGGTAAAGAAAATTTTGTAAAGAGATTGTACAGTCACACAGCCCACCTTTGAGGTATGTAGAACATGTGGCTTGGAGGAGGTTTTGCTAGGAATCCTTTGTAAACTGGCCATAGACCACCAAGAATACGAAATAATGAGCTTTTACCACAACCATTTGGACCTGTTATCAACAAATGCATTCCTGGTTCCATCTGAGATAATTAACCAAAAACACACATCAGAAATTTAAATGTTGTTACATGTAAATTGAACGTGCAGTTACCCATAGTAAGCAGCTAACTTTTCAATGCAACTTATTACTATACATGTGCATGTACATGATTATTATCATGACAACTAGTTATCAGTAGAGTCAAAAATTAAAACATTAATTTTATTGATTGTGATTTAGGCTATTAGCAGTCCAATTTTGAGCATTAAACTTATTCAAGAGGGCATGCATTATGCTTGTGATTGGACAGTGTTAAAGGACATGATGCCATGCCTGTGAAACTCTAAAAGCTACCAATCATTGGTGTACACTTTATTACTAATAACACTTCATGTATTTTATGTATTGGACTCCTGGCCCTAGTTTTTCAAAGGGCAGATAATGTTATCCATTGGATAAAACTTCCATCTGGTAGATAGTGCAGTACATTTTCTTAACACATCCATGGGATGGTGATTTATCCATTGAATAGGGTTAACTGTCCTTTGAAGAACTGGACCTTGCTTTACAATTTTAGACTGAAATGGACTTAACTCCACTGCATCACTACTATCAACTATTTCTTGTTTCATTCTAGAACTCACCTCAAAAGACAAGTTTGACACGACCACATCACCGCATGGTGTGATGATAGCCACATCTTTCAAAGCAATACTACCCTCTGTATCTACTACTTCACCACCAGGCATTTGATTCAAATCAACAACTTCACCATGTACCCCAACACTGCATTGCTCCTTGTCCTCAAGAAAGGAGTCATCAGCCTGTGTCAACTCTCGTAAAATCTGCCGTTCACAGTGTCCCTGTTGAACATCTTCAAAAACTTCAAACATCTCTGACACTCTGGCTGTGTAACCACTCAGCTCTATGATCTAACACAACGCAGAAGACAAAAGTATTAAATCTAAATAATTTGGCATTTCCGAAAGAAATGAACAACCACTTAGACAAGATTTGAGAAATAGTCAGAACAGTTTCACAAAAATTATCCTAAAATTAAACATAATAATACTGCAGCCAAATTGTCAGAACTGTTTCATAAAAAAACCCTTATCCTATAGTTATAATTTGTCACTGACTTCCTAGGGAGTTAATCCAAAAAAGTGGAAGACACCTGTCTCACATCTTAATAACAATACATTCTTTAGCTCTTGAAACTGCTCAACTTTAATTCTTTGCCACAATATGCTTTCAAAAGCAGAAAAGTGTATATGTCATAATTTTATGTCAGCTGACTAATCCTTGTACAACTCAATAAGCAGTGTGCCTATTTTAAAATATATGAGATAAAAAGTGTAGTAAGTATGTCTCAACAAAAATTAATCATCCTGCAAAGAGGGAAACTACTGTCAATTTTAATTATAGCAATTAAAAATAAAGCTTTATTATATTGTATTATCAACGCTCACCTCCTTGTATGAAGACATGACCCTTTCTATGGCATCTGCAGCAGATACCATTAGTGAGCGTGATGTTGTTACATGTTCAGTTCTTTCACTTACACCTTGATCTGCTGGCCCCAGTTGTTCATTTTTAGACCCTAAATAAAGGACAACATTACAGTAAGGAGGGAGTTACTTTTGCAAGGTTTCATAAATAGCAGTGAAAATATATGAACCACACTCAGGAAGACATTTTGTAAATTACATTGTAAAATCAAAATTTTAATAGTAATTTATTAGAGGGTCCACTTCATCAGAACATCTACACAACTGTTGTATCTGTAAAATATTGTCATAATGATCAAGGATTGAGTGATAATCTTTTTTTAATACAAATTTTACCAATTTCTTGAATGACGCTGACAAGTGTTAACTTCTGGGCAGAGGCTTGCATTAAGATGCTTTCAATTGTAAACTTTCATTTGTGAACAAACATTCAAAGAAATAGCGCTCTCTTTCCTGGCAAAATGTCGTAAATTGAAGGAGCAACTCTTTGCACTAACTTTCACACAAACTTTAAGGAAAATTCACAAGAATAAAAAACAAAGTTTTCTTTTTTGCATTACTTTTGCATAAAACTGTACAGTCATGTATCATGCAGTTCTGTTGGTGAGATACATATACTTTCATTTGACCTACAGTGTAATCAAAGGCCTCCCGAATCAATGTTTCTCTGAATTCAAAATTTTTGAGATTTGCTGCCCAGTAAGTTACCTGCATTTACAACAATGGCTTTTGCAAACTAATTCAAGTCATAATTAATGCATTCCCCATGCATGTACACAAATATAAATACTCAGTAATTTGGCTACACTTGAAAAATTAAAATGATCTAAAGCACAGTTTACACTCCAAAAGGGATCACACTAAATAACGATAGTCACAGAAATTTTGCACAGGTGGTAAAAAAATTTAGACATTGACCTTTTCCTGTCAATATGCTTGATCCAACCATAACAAGGCCTGATGCACTCCACACATACTTCATTAAGAACTGTTCCAGCATGATGAACCATAGACGTTTGCTAAAGAGTAGTTCCATTTGTTGTGCCAATGATTGAAAACTTTGTTTCAGTAATGACAGCTCAGCCTGTAAACAAAACAAAATGGCTATAGTCATAGAGACTTGTCATCACTTATATTACCATCTGTTAACCAAACATGCAGTATTGGCAGTAACACCATGCAATTGTTAGTATGAGATGGTAACACCATAAGAAAAATTTCTTATCAGAGTCTCATTGCACTGTTTCAATTCACTGACAGTTTTCCTACTGCCTTCCTTCAATATCACTGATTAAAAATATCAGGAACCCATGAATTAATCTGTAAGTTGATTTTTTCCGAAAAAAATCCTTTATCCATAATTCTATTCTCTTAAGTGTTTCCTTTGTGTCTGGAGATCATTTGTGGTGCACGTGCAACAAAGTCACAATATCTGTATACCAGCAAACTTACAACATCAGCTAAATCATATATAACTGAATATGCAACAGTTGAATTGGTGGTGTTTATTCTTGTAGAATGGTTAACTTATTGTAAGCATGGTCTAATTTCTTTCTCCTTTGTTGTTGTTCCTTTTTTGTGTAGTGTTAATTACTAGGCAAAGACAAAATTGCTTGTGTCAAATAATCTCTGAGGATTAGTTAAGGGTATTATAAATGCTTTTATATCCACATCATGTACCATGGTTATCTGAGCAACTACATTTGTATTGATGATGTTTGTCTTTCTTGTATCTCTTGAAATATCAATAAACATATGGTGGTAAAAATTATTTTATCAGTATTGTGCACATTTTGGAATGTGTTATTCAATTTAGATGAGAGCCACTAACCTATCATTGCATATATCTTTCGTATCTGTCATAATTATTGACTTGAGCACTTCTCCTACAGTTTAAAAAAATGTATATTTACCTAATTTGTGTGGCTTTTAATTTCTTAGTTCTTATTTTGGTTTGTTTTGTTTTGCCCTGTGGTTGTTGTTGTTTTTTATTTAGTGAAAAGCTACCACTTCCTTTTCTTCCCAGTTTTTTTTTTCTCTTTGGTCACGGCCCCCTATCCACCCCCTATTAATTATTCATTGGTTCTCAAGGTTATTTACAAGAAAAACATGTACATAAAAGACACGTCCTACCTTGTGGCCGCTATAAAAGGCTATTTCTTCAGCATTTGTGATCACTCTTGAGTGAAGGAATCTAAGCTGTCCCCTCCGCTGTGACTCTTCAGCAACAATCTTACCGAACCGGGGACTTAACTTCCTCAAGATCTCTGCTGTAAGATAAATCACCACAGCAGCTATGGTGACTGGTATCTTCCACGAAGTTCCTCTCTTTCTAGCCATTCCATCCAAGGTCCAACAAATAACAAAAATATCTAAGCAGGGTTTGGTGAGATGAGAGTACAGATGAGCGACTGAACTGCAAAACATGCGTATGTCTTCTGTCAAACACTCGTCTGCATTTGCTAGTCGACCATCCAAGTTTCCAACGCGATAGTATGTTTGGTTGGAGAAATATTTATCGTAAGCGTAATTGACCAACTCTGTTCGGAAAGCTAGGGAAAGTTTGCTCTCCAGATATCGAATCATGCTGTTGATAAAAGTTGCTGGAATGGCTACGCCAATCCAATTAGTCAGTAACAGAACAAATTTGAAGACATTTTTCTGTACCACTGATCTTATTATTCGGCCGTCAAGAGTTGCCACGTAGATCGATAGAAAAGTCCTAACGAAAAGGCAAACTGAATGAAGCAATAACAATCCAAATTGTTTCGTCCAAATTCCAGGGAAAAGAATCTTTAGTAGCTTCCATGCTTGACAAATGAATACAGAGTCCAGGCCTGCGGTCCTTTGCTTCACTTTTGATCTTGAACTCGAGCTAACCAAAGCCAGTCTCGCTTTGCTGTGATGTTGAAGTTTGTTCAAGATCCTTCGTCCCACAGAGGCTCCATATTTCTTAATAATGTAAAAGCTAACGACAGCCAGAGCAGTAGCTCCTGTGATTTGTATGTGTCTCTTTGAAAAATTAGCCATATTTTCACTAAATCCACGCTAGTAGTGACACCACCTGCTTTCAAAATCGTGTGTGGTTGCGGCCATAACTTTCTTCGCTTTGGTACCCAGGACCTTGATCAAAACGAGGCTGGCGCAACGATTGAGGTACTTTGTGAAGTACAAGGAAGCACGGGGAGCCCAGACAAGCGACGAGTCTGCTTGTTTATTCGAAATATAAAGGAATGCATGGGAGAATATTGAAGAGTCTTATTATCGTAAACTTATATCATGAAATGTCTGAGTTAAAGCTCAAAACAAATGTAAACCTACCTCACTTCAGACTTAGGCATATCCGTGGGATATGCCTAAGTCTGAAGTACTAAGCAAGGCTCGATGGTCTTCCATTGAAACCACATATAAAGTTAATTTGGCTAAACTGATGTTCAAAATAGATAAGAAGACTTTACCTTTATCCATCTTAGATACCACCGAAGAAGTTGACGCGAATACAAAGAAAAACCTAAGAAGTAATGCCAACATAAAAGTACCAAAATTCAATACATATTACATGAAAAACAGTTTTTCCAGAAGAGGACCTATCGTTTTTAACACACTTCTCCAAGAATCAAATTTAAGAAATATAACCATTAAGCAGCTCTCCTCGTTAGCCTACAAATCAAAGGCACTTTTAAATTTGAACTTTAATTCTACCTCTCCAACGACAGTGAACTTTAAGGATGCCAATTTTAAATATTTTTAGATCTTTTAATTTTGATAGGCTACTTTAATTATTTAATTATTTTATTTTACTACATTTCATTTTATTCCATTTTACACACGACCCCACAAGCGTGTAGTCGCTTTAACAATTATCGTGTTTAAATTAAGTCTTTGTGTTGTTGTATTGTTTCACCTTATAATGTATAGTAACAGTCGACGCAAAACCCATCAAATCGCTCAAATTCGCCATTTAGAGCCACAGAAACGACAATACACAGCAAGTGAGGTAGGTTTACATTTATTTTGAGCTTTAACTCAGACATTTCATGATATAAGTTTACGATAATAAGACTCTTCAATATTCTCCCATACATTCCTTTATATTTCGAATAAACAACCAGACTCGTCGCTTGTCTGGGCTCTCTGTGAAGGAAGTTGAGGGATTCATGAAGCAAAATCATCCATTTGCCTTATTTATGGCTACAAGTAAAGTTTTCAAAAATAATAGGTGCTCTTAGGAAATCTCTAAGTAGTCAAAATCGCTACAGATCATGTTGGTTTCTTTTTGGTTCTTATTTATAAACATGTAGAGATTGAAACGGTTTAAGATAACGGCGTAATTCATAATTCGTAATTCGTTTATTTAGTGGCTATCTGAGAATCTCCCATTATGCCGACGCAAAGGTAGTAGTTATAAGTTATCAGGTGTTTGGCTACCTACGACATTCCAATGGACAGGAACAGCCACCACGAGGAATGTCCACTATTAAATTTTCATTAAAAATTCTCATCTTTATCTAAGATATAAATAGCAGTGCTTTCGATAGAACTCCTTCGAAATGGGATTTTGTAGGGTTAGTCTATGTTAGGGTAGTCCAGGTTAGGGTAGTCCATGTTAGGGTAGTCCATGTTAGGGTAGTCCATGTTAGGGTAGTCCATGTTAGGGTAGTCCATGTTAGGGTAGTCCATCGAAGTAGTCCATGGACTAGGATCAGAGCTTTGTCCATCACCCGCATTAGAAATCAAGGCGTCGCCTGTGTGTTTGACTTCATTTCTGACGTATCCAGTTTTGTCTTTAAGTTAGGCGTCTAGGATTCCTGAAACGTTTTGATGGTATCGAACTCTTGAGGTTGCTCTGTTGTAAGACATTTTTTATTTTAAGTACTGTCCTTTTTGGTTCTCGTTTCTTTTTAAGGAATGCTCTATTTCAATAAAGCTGTTCTTCCGGAAATGTTGCTATGTTTGTGTTCTGTCCGTCTGCCGATAAATCGCCCCATGTAAGGTAATCTGGAATCCGGAATCCAGGTAATTTTGGTCTGTGGAATCCGGAATCCATGGTTTTGGAATCCGGAATCCAACCATCACTGTAATTCACAATCCAGGTTGCTGTAATCCAGTCTGTTGTAATGGTTCCAGGGCCTCTTATTATCGGTCTTTATCAGACACCCTTTCGACCGGCTTTTCGACTTTTTTTCCCGTTGCGCTTTTGTAGTCGGAAGTTTAGATTCGTTTCCTGTTTGGGCGCAATTGGAACTAATTTTGGGATTTTAGGTAACTTCAAAGAATAATAATATAAATTATCCTTATTCTTGGCCGTACTGTCAATAGTCGCAGTGGTTGCAGTTAGGTTACTGGCTTCTTTCAGGTACATGTCATTAGTTTCACTCAAAGAATCACATGTTGCACGTGGTGTCCACGTGTCCAGATTCAATCAGTCGAAATCAGAGATCTCGAGAGATCACATTGAATATTTTTCTCAATCGATCGTTATCAGTCTTTGCCACCATTGGGAAGCACAAGAAAAAGCATGAGCCGGAAAGGTACGTACGTCTGTAAATTCTGTGTTTGTGACTTTGTGATGGAAATGTTTTGGGGGCGTGGTTTTGAATAGATCAGAGCGTGTGAAACAGAGATAAAGTAACTTCGAGCAGCTATTATCTGTCTGTTTCCCACTACCATCACAGCCTCGTTAGAGGAAAGCGAAGACGTAACAACAGCCAGCCAAGTCGTGGATGCTAATGTGGCACTGCGGAGTACGGCTGTACGGGTGCAAACCATTTACCAGAAAGACAACATATTGCATTACATTACATTCTTTTTACATTTATATTTTTTTACATTTAGATAGCGCAGACTTCTATGTGGATATATTCAGTCGCGCTTAACGGTATCATATGGTTGTCGGACGTCAGCATTTTTATCAGGCGCCTCTGGCAGCCGCTTCAGTCCATGTAGCGATCTCACCTTCCCACCCATCCCACCCCGTGGAGGACATCCACTACACAGTGACCTCGTGCATGGGAAATTTACGTCTCCTACCCCTAACCCTGCAGGACGCGGGACCTACGGCTTTACGTCTAATCCGAGAAGACGCAACCGTAGAAGAGAGATCTCACCTTTCTGGCCAGCAGTTCTTCAGGAGCATGTACAAATAGAAGTGAATGGTGGAAATTTTGTGCAGCAAAGAGTATCTTTAAAGTGGCTAAACCAGACAAGTGATTCACTAACATACACCTCCGGTGATGTCTGTAATGGGAATTCCCCCAACTGCATTCTAACCCGAGTACTCGACTTTTCTTCCGATGGATCAGACATCATTTTAACAACAGAGGAGGATAACTGGCTCTGTAGAATTGCTAATGGAGACTATGGTGACGATGATGACAATGACAATGAAACTGCACCATCAACCGCAGAGGATGAGGGAGAAGTATCCCTCCCGATAAGACTGCGGGGAGTTAGTTTATCAGGACGGAGAACGACACGGTTTATTCTATTAAAGATAAATGTTTTCCGTTGCCTGCGTAGCTGGTATTATAGTAATTGGACTATCTTCACGCTATTTGTTGGTAAGCTGTAACTGAAGTGTTACATTTCTGTGTGGCAATTAAACAATTCGGAGACGAATTATGTTTGAACATGAAAAGCACTGATATTGGCAATGTGTTCCGTGCCTCTTTTTTCTTGTTGACGCTGTTGTTATTATTAAAATAGCCCTTCCTCGTTAGTATTTCCTCAACGATGTGGACTCAATAGACTTCAGAAACCGCTCATATATTCACAATCCTCTCTGGTAAGGCCAATAATTATATTTTATACTTAAATTTTATATAAGACAATGTACACTTCGGGGAAAAAAAGAAAAAAGCTTTTTTTGTGAAAACCAAGTACAAAGGGAAAATAGAATTTTGAAATCTGGAATCCAGCCACTTATTGAATCTGGAATCCACGAATGTGGAATCCGGAATCCACAATCCACAGACATGGAATCCGGAATCCACAGCGTGATTCCACAGCATTGAGCTAACCGCCGCCCAGTTAGCTCAATGGATAGAGCGCTGGACTGTTGTGCGGGAGGTGGAGGGTTCAAGCCCCGACCGGACCAACACTCAGGGTCTTAAAATAATTGAGAAGAATATGCTATCTTTCTATAACATCAAGAAATGGTTAGATATTCTAGTCTTCTCGGATAGGGACGAATAAATGGAGGTCCCGTCTCCTACAGTGTTAGGGGTAGGAGACGTTAATTTCCCATGCACGCACGAGATTACTGTGTGATGGATGTCTTCCCCTGGGGTGGGATTTATTGGGTGGACTACTTGCATCGTTCGCCTATGTTCCGTTCTAGTCCGACCTACTGCGATAATGCAGTGAAAATGGTTAGAAAAAAAAATCCGGAATCCAAGACTCTCTTGGATTACCTTACATGGGGCGAGATAAAGCGCGAAGTAAACTGTAAACTTATATTAGACAGAAAATAACCTTTAGATCATGTCTTCGTAAAAAAGGAAAGCCCTGGAAATAATTGAAATTAAAAGGAAACGATCGGAGAAAAAATCTAGGTCCGAGGTCTACATTTTGATTTGTAATTTCGTCGCATCTTTCTTAACAGTAAAATCCATCACGGGATTTTAGTGCTAAAAATGCCGCTTCCGCAAGTCAGTCAGTTATATTTTTTCGAACTTGAAGATGCTGCTGCGGCTTCTTTTCACATCCTTACATGACTACAGTTGGCACTCATAAAGGATACAGCCTGGTCTAAATTTAGCACGACGATATGATCTATGTATCAAGGAATCTCAAAGAAAATATATGGATATGTATAGGAAAGGAGTCAAGAGAAACATCATGCGGCTTGTTGATATCAGTAAAAGGTTCGCCACACCAAACTTGAGAATAACTAATAGATTTACATGGGGACAGATGCGAAGTTGTAAAAAGTACTGCGAGGGATGAAAAATAAAAGCAGTGAACTGCTATGAATCGATTTATGATCTGCAGAGAATGGTAATAACTGAACTCGTTCCAGAGGCAAGGGGTTGGACAGAAACGGAGGCAGTTTGAGGTTGTATTTATCAGTCGGTTTCCCTGGTTGACTCTGAAACCACTTCAAAAATGTGTTGTATGAAAGCGATATTAAAGAGCCGCTGAGTGTGAACTATATTTGTGATATGGTAGATGAGGCATTTGTTTCGCATCTTGCCGCAGTCAATTACCAATGTTAATTTGATGGCGTCATTTATTGCGAAATCAACTCAAGGCCCGTTTGTACGAGAATTTTCATGAATATTGCCACGTTCTCGTTGTTTTTATTTAGGTATTTTTTGGATTCAAGTCTTCTGGTGAAAGTTTCCTCGTATATTTTACCAGAACCTTGAAAGCAAGGTTTTGGGTGAAGATGGGTAATCCGACGTCAACATGCATACGAGGCCTATTAACAGTAAAAGCGTTTAGAAAACAGTGGCCAATATTAGTGAATCGAAAACACACGACGAAAAATCATTGAAGTTTTTCCTTCGTTTTAAGAAGTTTTGGTATCATCATGTTCATTCCATTTATTGTCCATTTAGTTTGCGGCTATAAAATGTTCAAATTGTTTTGTAGACCTTTTAAAGATAATTCGCAATTATTCAAAAAAAAAGAAAAAAAAAAACGTGACCGAGCCCTTGACCGAGACCTTTTAAAATCATCGGCCAACAAAGAAATGTTGCACAAGGGTGATCAAAGCGGGAGTAAGAAATTATACGGGCCAGTGCTCTTCCGCACCGCTCGCCAAGGGTTTAAAAGAGGTCTAAACAAATTGTTTAGTTTTTCTTGTTCCCTGTGCTTGTATTGAACTGCTCTTGTCACAATTAACAAAGCAAACAAACAGTTTTGGTCAAGCACTTCACAGAACCTTCATCGCGTGTTCTTCGGAAGCGAGGCGCCTAACTACGTTTTTTATTTGCGTGGGAACTGACTAAAATCTGTTTGCCGGGGAAGTACACCAAGGCACGTATTGCAGATGACGCGTGAACCAGTACACGTCTGTGCTGCTTATATAAGTGGTAAGCCTTCAGTTAGTGAACTTCAATCAGCATCAAACTTTGGAGCAGCTTTGTCAGTTCTCAAACTGGAACACTTTTTTTGTAGTTGGTAAAGAGTATAACACGGCCCTCGGTAAGTAATTAAAGCTTTGTGTGGTCGAAAATACATCTAAGCTTGTTTCGTGGATCGTACTTTTGTTCAGTAGTTATTTTAGACACATTTATGGTAGGTCATTATCCGCCAATTTTGTTCCTTTGTTTTGCAATACTCTCATCAGACTTAAAAACTATTTTCCAGTTAACTTTAACGATAACTCCTAGTCTATTAAAAGCAATTAATTTTGTCACATTTGTTCATGCAAATTCATGTATGCGAGCGAGAATTTAAGCTAAGAGATCACTAAGTCAATTATTTATGCGCTTGATCTTATGCTCTCAAGTTTGCCTAATTTTTTGTTCATATTTCTAACCTCGAGGTTAGTCACGTGTTTCTTCTTAAGTTTGGTCAAGGGGGGGGGGGGGGGGGAGGAGAATGTTGCGGTGACGGTATCCGAATTTTCCGAGTTCTAAGTCACTTCATTTCAAAAGTTGTGAAAATGAAATCAGGATATTACCTTCCTATTGACATCGGCATTACGCACTGAACAACAAACAACACAATATTTTCCAGAAATGATGAGCCGCTCAAAATATTGCTGTTAATGTTTTGTCTGTTCTCGGTTTTGCCGCCGATATGCAATCATCGGTATTATTTGGTTTTTACACCCAATATTTTTCCCACACTTCCCTTGCACTAGTTGACGGAGCAGAACTCTGACAATATACATCTCGGTCTGTTTGTAGATCTCCGAAGCCATTTGGACGGAAATACTTTGTATCAGAAGCAGAAAAAAAGAGAAAACACAACTCAAACTACACATAAAAGGAATAAACGACAAAAACTAAAATCAAAGCCAAAGCTTAAAAAGAAATTTCTTTTTTCGGACAGTATTGGGATGCTCAATTAGACTATAAATCTTCTCCTTTTTTCACTGCGTATAATTTCCCATATGACGCTCACTCTGGCAGTCGAATCAAAATGGCCGCATTCAATTGGCATCGCATCGAATGATGTCTTTTTGGGTGTGCTCGAATGCACATCTAAGCAATTAAAAGTGATATTAAATTTTCTAAGCAAATTGGTTCATTTTTATGTTTGAATGTTGAAGTAACTCATTGTCTGCACTTAGATGATCTAAATAGAAGTGAAGAAAGAGAAGAAAGAATTGATCCTGGCAAGATGAGCGCGGAGAGTTTGGCGCCTTTTACCAACAACTCATTGCCTCAGTTTTGTATCTAAACGCCTTTCTTTCTCGGCATGCATTTTACTCAGTGATAACTGTTCTCATTATAAAACTTGGTATTTTGCCGCGGAAATCTCAGTTTTGTTATCGCCTCAGCATGTTTCAGCATCGCCGAAAGTGATACTAAAAAATCAAGCTTTCATCGCAAGTCGGTAAATGGAAATCCCAGTTCGATCTGCACATCCCAGATTCTCGTGTTTTGTATTCTATATTTTCGGCAAATCCTGAGCACAGGTTGGTATAGATATATAACATCATCTTTACTTGCCCTGACCAAAAAAAGAAACAGAAAAACTAGTGCAATCGGATAAACTTCGCAAATATCCAGCAATGAGATACTGGACAAAGTTTTTAATCAGCTATCAGAGCCATTCAGCTCCCTATTTCATTTCTTCCTTCTTTCTTAGCAAAAATCCTCGCCTTCTGTTCTTAAATCTTTGTTAGCCACGAAGGTCATCAAATATTTCAAACCTCACTTGATACACGTCGCATATTAGGCGCTCAAGCTTGTTCAAAATTCAGACTTATTCTTGTTTGTAACGATACTTTTATTTTGTCAGAAATATGCGGGCCACAACCATTTTGGGTTTCTTGTTGTCAGCCGTCCTTAGCCTATGTTCAGCGGACATTTACCTCCACTTTCCTCACGGTAGCAACAATAGACTGAACGGTAACGGCGCAAATGTCAGGAATGCCAACAGGCTGTTTGACTCTCAGGTGGGTGTGTTTAAAGGAAAACCTCGCCTTTTGTATGGCGCGGGGTGAAATTGAAACACGTATTTAAATAATTATTCAGTCGTTCGCAAACGAAATCTAACCTACGGCTGAAAATGTCCATTGACTTATCCAGCTCATGTCACGAAAAGAGACAAATTCGTCTTTCTCGTACGTATTGACTATTTGTGACTTTTTTTGTAGAACAATGGTAAAGCCGGTTACAATGTTGGAGACAGCGGAATTAACGCCACTAAAAACAACATAACGGAAACGAGGCAGCGTCCATTGGTAAGACGTATTTTGATTATTTTTTTCTGCTTCTCTTCTCTTTCTGTTCCATTTTCATTCTTGGTTCCACAGGAAGAATAAACGTTTTAAGGTGGGGGTACACCCAAAAAATTTTCAAATGTAAAATATAAATCGCCGTAATGATATGGTCCAATCGTTAGCAAAGAAGGTAAGACTTTTTTTTAAAGAAACTGTGGTGCTGGATTGGTGGGTGGAAATACAATATAACTTGGTTTTATCAACCAAGCTGATAAAGTAAATTAGTTCCGATAAAAAGTCTCTGAAGCCCTTTGTCATTCGCTCTGACAATCGGTACTAACTATCACCCCCGTAAGTATCGCTCTTTCCCATAATTCCAAAATGTATTAGCGTTTATGCCTCTTCCTGAACTTATCATTTTCTTCTTAATCCGAAGGAATTTTTCATGAGCGGTTGTGAAAAGGAAGAAAAAACTGAGGTTGAAATTATGTGGACAAATCAACATGGAACTGGACCAAAGAGTGAAGATATAGTGGAATCACAAATCATCCTGCAGTACATGTGTCAACCATATCCTCAAGGAAACGTAACTAATATCAATGAAGATTTCCAGCCGTACACCATCCGTAATGGTGCTTTACGTAACACGCAAGTATTCAGTGTCATTAGAAAAGAAGCTGATGTAGTGAATAAAGAGCGTGGATTGCATGAGCCTTTAGAATACTACAGAGCCTCACTGCGCAGACACAGAAACAAAGGTGACATATTCTATGATAGTCAACTTTCTACTAATCTCACTTCCACTTTTTGTATTAGTGACTAATTTCAGTCTTACTTCAGCTGAGAATTCAAAGATTACCATCACTGCGGAGCAGTGCTTCAGAGCAATACCAGTTTGAGGTTCGTAACTCCAACTGGGCCTGGAAGCCGGCGGAGAACATTATTAAAAGTCCCACACGAGTTTATACTTAGTAATAGTTCCTTTTACAATGCTTTAGTGTTTTTTATAAGCTACGTTATATCTCCCGCAATAACATCCTTCCTTGATTGTTCCTAATCCATTATACAGGTTTGTTTACCGCTAATCAAAACCTAAAAGGTGACAGTGCAAAATTCACGAGACAGAACGCAAATGGGAAGAGAAGGGGGTATGAAGTACCAGAGGAACGTGATTACTATCCCTACTGGGGCCCAACCCCTTGGAAGGACATTGCAATCATGGCCAGTGACGAAAAAACAAAAGGATTGATAAGAGAATATGTAAACAGTCCAAATTATGGCGAAAAGGGTAAGTTTTTCAACGAGTTCCCTTCATAAGAGTCGTCGATAGCTGTGCAAGTGCAAGTGTCGTGAAATGATGCTCTTCGATTTATTTTCAGGGTTGTGCATTTTAAAGAATGGTGTAAAAATTGGTCGTCGCCGAAATCTCTGTCCAAGAATACCTCCAGTTAACAGACGAAACACGGAGTGCGTGGCCAAGTTCATTACACAGGCCTTGTGCGAAAATGCAGGAGGAAAGTGGACCGTGGTAAAAACGAACTTTAAAGAAAAGTTATCCGGCGTCAATTCTTGTGCCAACATTAATACTGTCAAGGGCGTGGCGTATGAGCCTCATCTGATAACACAGGGTACAGGCGAGGGCGAGCAGGATCTTGTTCTGGCAGACCCCCCTGAGGTTTTAGATGCTCCATCTACAGTTGTGAATCACAATGGCATGAACTTGGATGGGAAGTTTTCTTCATACAAATGGAGGATTCCTCACTTTCCCTCGAACACTATTCAGCGATGCGTGTTGAGAATCAGGTGAAGAGGGTCAAGGTTATAATCTTGCGATAGATATTACCATTCATTTAATTTGTGCCCACCCATTGTAACCTGGAAAAATTATGAAATCGATGTCGGTACCCAACGAAAATTAATGAAGGCTTGCGGAAAATAAATCATGATATAAAATGACCCCTCAACACACATGGGCCCTGTCTTTTCACCCTCAATCAAGTGAAAGAGAAGTATGTATTATTTTGTCCTCCAGCAAGGCCTTCATGCAACACTGGTCCTTTAGATCACCAAAATGAAAGAAATTTTCTAATGATAACCAATGCAAAGTAAGAAATCCTATAATATGAAACGCTAACGCTACATGGCCGAGTGACCTCCATCGACTCATTTTCGCTTTGCCTAAATCCATGCTGGACTTTTCATTTGGATCTTTGTGGGACTTTGTTTTTCTCTTCAGGCATTATATTTCTTCCCGTAGAAAATACATTCTCATTACCTTTCGACTTAAAATTAACTGTGGCATACTGGTTAAATTGACAGATATAACATCACAACAAAAGATGTACCGAGGAGTTTTTATGCTTCAAATAACAAAGAGTGAGTACTCAGGAATACTGAAAATGATGAGAAAAATGGCTGGGAATTTCCAACTTATCATTAAAAGTAAAAACAAGCGTTAAAAAATTTAGCCGTTAAATGTAAGAATTGACACCCTTTCACCAGTTTAATCGTTAAAAAGTTAATCGATAACATTTTTATTGCCCCCAATGCCATTTTGAGTGGATCTACCGTTAGCCGTAAAATGGCCATATTTTAATTAACTTTTAAAGTTAATCGTGAAAGCCATTACCCCATTGAAACTGTCCCTCTTTATAATGTTTTAGTTTTCTTTTCCTTTTCATTATTTTTTTGATAAAAGCGATCCTTGCCAACCTTTTGTTCCAATTGATAAAGGGCGAAGTGTACCTTTTTTGAGTAGCATTTGTTATGGCTCCCGGTTAGCTCAATGGATAGACCGCTGGACTGATGTCCGGGAGGTCGAGGGTTCGAGCCCCGGCCGGACCAACACTCAAGGTTGAGAAGAATATGCTGCCTTTCTATAACATCAATAAATAGTTAAGATATTCTAGTCTTCTCGGATAGGGACGAATAAATGGCGGTCCTGTCTCCTGCAGGTTAGGGGTAGGAGACGTTAATTTCCCACACACGAGAGCACTGTGTGATGGATGTCCTCCCTTGGGATGGGTGGGTTGTTGTCTTACGTTTCAAACATGAGCTTCTGGCTCGAGAAATACGGGTAACCATGCCCCGCGCAGAGACATTAAACTTTGATTACTATTACTGTTATGGTCGAACGCTCGGCGGTCAATTTCTGGTCATGTGACGGTAAACCCCATTGAGAGGCACCTCTAAGCTAACCGTAGACTGTGATAACGAGATTGATAGGGAGAAGTAATTGTGAAATATGATTAACATTTTAGTGTTACAAATGATCCTTCAACGCTGGCAACTGATGGAAAAACCAACCTGCAATTAGCCTTGAACACTGCTCAATTAGGCCGTACATTCCAAGACAGAACGCATGTAATCTACTTGAAGCCTAGAAGCTTGTTACCCAAACGATTCCAGAATTCCAAAATCTTCTACATTGGGGGAATGGGAAAGCGAGGAAACATCGTGCAGGCTTATCCAGCCATGGAATATCGCTTCACTCCTGAACGTATTAATGTTACAACGGAAGATGTTGTGTGTTTCGCTTGGTCAGGTGAGTCTGTTTGCCACGATTTGGCATATTCTCATAATTGATACGATGATTAACTATTTGTAAGACCAGCCTAACTTCTCAAAACGATTTCAGTCGATTTCTCCGAAGTTGTTATTGGGCGTGCTCATGTGGAATTATATCCCAGGCCTCTTAATATGGAAGCAAGGCGGGTTAAATTACAAGAGACTGGGGTGTTGGTCAGATGGACCTGCAAGTTGCTTACCTCACCTTGGAGGTTCCATGTGTAATGTTATCCTCAGCATGAGGGAAGCAAAAAAGTATTGGCTTAGAAAGAAAGAAAAATGAAAATTAGGGAGAAGTTGGGCAGGGACTTTGAGTCCATGAAAGACTCTTGAAAATTCAGTATAAATTTGTTAAGGTGTACAAATCACAAGAAATAGAAATCTTGATAACTATGTAAAGTAGATTTGATAGCTTCGTATAAAATTTAAGGCGTTTTCTGACCATGCAACGGGAAATGTGAGATCTGCAAAGTAAGCAAGTGAAAGAAAATTCCTGTAGGGAAGCTGAAGAAATTTCTGACTTATCAGCTAACTACTGCACAGGGAAATGTGACCATACAGATTCTTCCAAAAAGAAAACCAAGCAAATAAACGCACAAACAAATCCCATCATAATGTGAATAATTTAAATCAATGGAATTATCTGAGGAACTACGCACCCACCCCTCCCCTAACTTGTTATCAGTTGACAGTTTAGAGATATGTTGGGGCATCAAAAGTTTGAGGGTGTTAATTTTACCCTTTGACTGAGGGTTTTTCGCATCTTCCAACAGAGTAACTATCTCGTAAAATAAAACGTTCCAAATGTAAGCCGCTATCCTAAGTCTAATAAAGCTCCAAAGGAATAAAATAGACCGGGTGTATGGGTTGGTTTTCTGGCTAGTTTTGTCGCTTTTCTCATTGCTTTCAGTGAAAATAGGGAAAATTATTATTTTTTCAGGTTCCAATGACAATCGGAATAATGTTGCAGGAGAAGGGCAGAGAGGTAAGTGCTGTTGAGGGAACTCACTTGTCTGTACAAAACAACGCATTCATAGACAGCCGCATAACTATATACATTAATTTTACACCGAAATGATGAAAATTTTGCATTTCTATTTTAATAAGAAATAAACCGATTTAAACATTTGATACTGCACCTGCACGGCCTCTTTTTGATTTAGAGGCCAAAAGAATGGTTTTTATTAAACAATGATGGCATCAGGGTTAAATTTTAGTTGTTAAATTAGCCATGAACAACTAAGTAAATATCTTTGAAAACATTCTAAATCAGTAGCGGGTCCTCTACGGTAATTCTAACTCTGAACTACGTAACTAGCATATGCATATTCAGGACGACTCCGTCAACAGGAATAGCTGAAGAAATTCTAGATAGAAAATGAAATTTAAAAAAAATGCAACAACTAAATGAAAATGATCCTTTTTGCTATTTACTGAACACTTTTCCTCTTGCATTCTCTAAATTATTTCAGGATCAGACAGAACAAACGTGTGCTGGGTGAAGGAAGGATGCCAGTCTCTAAAACCGAAGGCTTGTTCGAGCTTGCCTCTTGAAGTAGTCGATCAGGCTGATGTGTTTTCTGCTGACAAGTTGAATCTTCACCTCAACACTGGATGTTACAGCGGTAGCGAAAACATCCTGCAGGCTCAACTGAACAATGCCCCAGCCTCCTGCAACCCGCCTTGCTTCCGTATCAAGAGGCCTGGGACATACTGTTACATGAGCACGCGCAATAACAACTTCTCCAACCGCCGTCACATGGGACAGATCACCGTTACTTGAAGTAGTTCGTTGGGAGCTAATACTGTTGGGAATCAGTTCTCCTACGTTTTGTTAAATTAACTATGATTCCACTAAACATTATTATATTTCCGTTATTTTCATTGTTTGCCGTTTGATAATGGTTGTATACGAGTATTCGGTTGCATGTCGATTATTTGATTTTTTTAACTCACTACCAAGATTACAGATTACATACGAGAGATACATAGCAAATGCATTTGCATTTCCCAACAATCAAATTGACTCTAACAATCTATGCAGTGTTTATTTAGGAGACCAAGTCCTCAATTGTAAGCCTTTCTATAAGTACTTAGGAGTATACCTAGACGAGTCACTTTCTTTCAAGGAACAAGTTACTCGACTGGTTAATAAGGTATCTAGACAGCTTGGTTTGTTAAGTAGGGTCAGAAACAGTCTCACGGTTCATGCAGCTGAAAGAGTCTTTGCAACTATGATTCTTCCCAAGTTAGATTATTGCAACTTTGTTTGGAATAATTTAGCTCCTTCTAGATATAAAACTTTAGAAAGGTTACAAACAAGAGCTGCTAGAATTGTTTTAAAAGAAATCTGCCTTAGTCACGATCAGCTGTTGCGACAATTAGGTTGGATGTCTCTTAAGACAGGTTCTACGATGCATATTTCAACTTTTGTTTTTAAATGTGTCAATAACATTGCTCCTGAAATGTTCAAAGAATACTTTGTCAAGTTATCACATAATTATTTTACCAGGCGTAATGGTCTTGACCTTTTAGTTCCAATTGTTCACACCGAATCTGCTAAGAAAGGGTGCTTTTATTCTGGGGCACAAGCATTCAATAATTTACCACCAAAACTGAAAGAACTTGAATCCCTATTAATGTTTAAAACGAAGCTTAAGGATTTTGCTATGCAATTAACGTGTGATTTTACGTTTGATACTTCTTCTATGCATTTACTTTCCTATAGTTTTTATCTTATTAAGTATATTGTAATAGTTCTTAGGGCTTTTATTATTATTTTGCTATCTTCTGTTTCCCAGGGCACCTATTGATAACAGCTTCTGCTGACGGGTTTACCCTGGTTAAATATGTTATTATTATCATCATTATTATTATTATTATTATTATTATTATTATTATTCGTTCAGAAGTATTATGATAATAGCTCTGAAGGATTCTCTATCCGAATGGGAGACTGATGCAGTAAGAATTATTTTTAAACTCATCTACTGTTATTAAAAGGAGAGGGAAAACACCAACTGCCGTATAATCTAAACAAAGTTAAATTATAAGCAACAAAATACAACTACAAAATACAGCTAAGGTTATATCTTAAGTAGGTTGTGGTTCGTCATCGGGGTAAATAACACTTTCAACAGAGAAATATAGTCGTTTGTCTCACGATGTGGTCATTTCGGACATGGATCGCGACGTTTCGATTGCATACTAGTCTTCTTCAGCCGACGAGGTCAGTTGAGTACAGAGAGAACCTGATACGAATGTGAACCAATCACAGCTGTGGAATTCCATCCAATCACAGCTAAGCGCAACGGCATAGAGCTGACGCATACTCAATCGACATAATCAGCTGAAGAAACGTCGTGATCCACATCAGAAGTGACCACGTTGCGAGACAAACTATCATATTTCTCTTTTGAAAGCTGAGGTAATATGGGGTAAATGTAGAGAAATGAAGGTCTAAGACTGAAAACCCAGACCAACTTTGCTGGAGCTTTAAGAAATGGTTGCTTTCGGAAAAACCTACCGATCTCGCGACTTTTCCCATAGACCTATAGTTAACAGGAGCAATAAACCAAACCACAAATATTCCGATTTCGCAATCGAAGTTGTCCCCGCCCCCAAACTGGGCCTGAGAGACACAGATTTTTGTTGTACCTGCTTCATATGAGTCCGAGTGTTATCAAAACCTGAAATTTCTAAATTACAGACCAACTGTTAATTTCCTAAAAGGACAGGTATTTTCCCGAGGGTCTTTAAGCTTTCAGTTGGTCGCCCGTGTTGCCTATAACCTAAGAACAAAAACGTTGCGCTCGTGTCTTCAAGTTGTGCTCAAATGTCGTGGTGTTTTAAAGTTATTTTGGCATCCTTGTAAGTTAATAGAATATCTCAGCCAATGCCTGACCATATCTCCATATTGGTAATTTGTTGATGCGTACGTTGCTTCTGATGGACTTCTCGTTCTACCAGTACCTTGAAATCAGCTTCATGATGATCCGACAATCATTCCATCATGTTCACTCTATATTTTGGCTTTATGCTTCCAGTTTCGAATTCGTGTCCTGTGGAGCTCGCCTGGAAGGTCAATCGTCGAGTCTGGCAACCTGTTACGTTCTTTCTTATCTTTTTTAATACTGATTAAAGACGTTCTTCCTGTAAAATAAACTGTGGTGCAATTCCCCGGCGGTCCAGATTGATTCGAAATGTGAGTTCTAGATGAAAATGCAGTTAAATGTGAAAACGATTATCTATGGTTTCTACATGCTCTCAAACAAGCGCGAGAGCTCCGTTTGGTTTTTAAAAATTTTACTCATTACGAGATAAATGATCAAAATCTCGGGTGTTTAAATTTTTATTTCAGAGAAATGTTTCCATCTTGCTAGAACCGAAAATTCAATTTTTGATTCGGAAAACACGAAGCTGTTAATGCTAGCATCAACTGTTTTTCTCCGAGTCTGTCATTTAAGGCTGAAATTAAATTACGTTTTGTGTATAATTTTGACGAAGTACTACGTACAAAAAAAGAAATCAAACAACATCTCGGGAAAAACGTCTTTTGTACTAAACACGGAACGTAGATACACATGTTACTTTTGAGAAATCTTTGTTGAAAGTTTTCCTGAATCATTTATAGATTACCATGCTGTTTAAACAGCCTGCTTGTAAATATATACAGAATAGAATACTAAAGAAGTGAGCCTTTTTTATTTATAAACATGTATCACACGTTTGGGATTTGTTTACTCGACGAAGGGGTGCGTCTATTTAGGCGTTTTATTACTTTGTAATCCTTAATTTATTCAGGTGTATGTTTCTCAAATAAAACAATAATCCATTTGTTCGGCTCGGAACAAACAGAGTCGAGGCTACAGAAAACGTGGAACAAATAATTACTTTGCTAAGGTACAGAAGGTGTCGCACTACTGGAGTTAAAGCCACAACACTAAGGTTCAGTTGAGGTGCACGAATACCGTAAACCAGTGAGGTTGCGAGTGGACGTAAGTATTCGCTGATAACCCTTTTCGTGTGAACAGTAGTGTATTATTAAGGGAATCTTGCATTTTGATTCCCTGTGGTCTGTAGTTCTCGTTCTTGGACGAATCGAATCCTGTTGCTGTTGTCTGTTTTTAAAGATATCCTGTTTAAGGTGATCTAACGGACCGGAACAACATTTCCATTTCCTGCGCTAGTGGGGAGTCATTGATTTAGATTCCATCTAGTTTAATCACATTGCTTATCTATAACTGTAACTGAAGAAAACTCTTCAAAAATGACTTTTAAGGTACTTACTTTATGAAATGTAGTTTGCTTAATCAAGGCTGTATTTATACTTCATAGACTTCGTTTGCGAAATTCTCTTTGAGCCTGTCAACGGGATTTGGCTTGGGAAACAAGCGAGGAACGCTCAAATTGTATGAATACTGCAAGATGCATCAGACAAAAACTATGAAAACATTAACGAAGGATTCATTAGGATCAGCCTCCTATTTCGTCGATTCTTTCTTTTCACCTTAATTTATTGTTAACAGGAAGAATCTTACTTGATCTTTAAAAAGATACATCGTCCTAGCACACTAGAAATTACTGAGACCAAAATCTTAACTTGATTACTATTTTATTTCTTCAGAAATATGCAGGCCGTACTCACTTATGGTTTTTTGTTGTCGATATTCGTTTATCTGTGTTCGGGGGATATATACCTTCATTTCCCCCATGGTAGCAACAACAGATTGAACGGGAACCGGGCAAATGTGAGGAATGCTAACAGGCTTTTCAACTCACAGGTGGGTGTATCATCTGAACATCTCGCTATTCCGCTATTCACATAGAAAGAAAGTGGAAAAGTTGAAGTTTTTCATGCACTTCATGCGCATGCTTGGGAAGTAGTACAGCTTTGTTTAAATCCTTGTATCCTTCGACCAGAGATGATTGACGTGGATCTGCTCCAAACAATTTCAAAATATTTTCCACAGACAGATCATGAAAACAGAAACAGTTCTCAATTAGAGGTGTCATCTTTATCAACAATAAATTAATTATCTGCACCAATTGACGAGAAGATGAAAATATACACACTCAGTGTCATTGTTCCATATCATCTTAGCCATGAGTTATTCATCACTCTTTTTTAGAACAATGGTAAAGCCGGTTACAACGTCGGTGACAGCGGAAGTAACAATCCAGGAGAAAACATTGCCGAAACAAGGCAGCGTCCATTGGTTAGATATATTTTGAGAATCTTTGCTTTACTATATTTAGACTCTTAGTATCAGAATTTTTCCCTCTTAACAAAGAGTTGAAATTAGCCTTAACAATGTTAGATAATGGAAAGAATCACCTCCCAAAAATAAAACTGGTCTGTGGCCATAGCGACGTTGTCTTCACATGTGTAAATATAAATGTTACGTGCACTGCGTGAGGTGAAGATATCACGTTTTCAAGCCGGGAGCAAGAGAAAATCTTGTACTTCATCAATTTTTATTTCTCTTTGAACCGAAGGAGTTTTTCATGAGCGGCTGTGAAGAGAAGGCAAAAACTGACGTTGAAATTATGTGGACAAACCAACATGGAACTGGACCAAAGAGTGAAGATATAGTGGAAACACAAGTCATTCTGCAGTACATGTGTCAACCTTTTCCCGAAGGAAAGGTTACGAGTGTCAACAATGACTTTCAGCTTCATACCATTCGTAATGGTGGGAACCGCAACACTCAAGAGTTCAGATCCATTGAAGCTCTAAATGGCAGGATCAAAAAAGACCGCGGACTACATGAACCAGAGGGATATTACCACGCTTATTTCAGGAGGTCCAGAAACAAAGGTGAGATTTAGCCACAACCAAAAAGCACAACAAGGAAGTTCCTTTCACAAACATGCACTGTTCAGATAAAAGTTTGAATCAAAACGTCATCAACGGGCCGAGCCGGCCATTATCAATCGCCTGAGGGGGGTGGGGGTGGCGAGCTTTAAGTGTCACGATAAAATTGGCCTGATCCCCTGAGGCTCTGTAACATTTTTCATGTCCCCCCCTTATTGGCTTTTTTCTCTGATGGTGACGATTGCTTTCCCCCTCCGTTGCCCTTGTGACTTTCTATCATCCGCTGGCCTAATGATAGCTGTTTTCCTTTCAGTTGTAAATTACAATTACACTGAACTTATTCCAAACGAGAAAGTCTTAAATGAAACTTTATCTGGGACCGAGAAGGGGGGAAAAATCGTTTAAGTCCAACATTTGGTATTGGTTCCGAAGGGCTTCTGAATAATTGTGATCTACAATCATTTTGCATGACATTGCTCTAAGTACCTCTAACTAGCAGCATAACGCTTTAGAGTTTTTTGTTAGCTAGGTTATATCAGTTTCGCTATAAAATCCTTCCTTGATTGTTTTTTAACCATTTCACAGGTTTGTTTACCGCTGATCAAAACCTAAGAGGTGACAGAGCAATTTTCACCAGACAGAACCCAAATGGGCAGAGAAGGGGATTGGAAGTACCAGAGGAACGTGATTACTATCCTTACTGGGGCCCCACCCCCTGGAAGGACGTTGCTCTCATGGTCAGCGACCGAGCAACAGAAAGCCTGATGAAGGGTTATGTAAACAGTCCTGAGTACGGTAAAAAGGGTAAATAGTTTCTTATAACGGTCTACAATATCTATACCAGTACGAGAAATAACGTCCTTTTGTTTTCTATCATGTTTGTGCATTTTAATAAACGTGGGTAAGTTTTTCAAAGACTTCCCTTCATAAGAGTCGTCGATAGCTGTGCAAGTGCAAGTGTCCTGAAATGATGCTCTTTGGTTTACCCTCAGGGTTGTGCATTATGAAGAATGGTGCCAGAATTGATCGTCGGCGACATTCCTGTCCAAGAATACCACCCAATAACAGGCAAGCCGCCGAATGTGTGGCCAAGTACATTACAAAGGAGTCGTGCGAAGAGCGAGGAGGAACGTGGACCATACTAAGAACAGACGTTAAAGAGAAGTTTTCCGGCGCCAAACCTTGCGCCAACGTTAAGACCGTCAAGGGCGTGGCGTATGAGCCTCATCTGATAACGCAGGGTACAAAAGAGGGCGAGCAAGATCTTGTTCTAACAGACCCCCCCGAGGTGATTTACGCACCATCCACAGTTGTGAATCACAATGGCATGAACTTGGATGGGAAGTTTTCTTCATACAAATGGAGGATTCCTCACTTTCCCTCCAACACTATTCAGCGATGCGTGTTGAGAATCAGGTGATCAGGAAAGCCATGATTATAGTTGGGGGTTTAAAAGCCCAATCAAAATGATGCAATGATCAAAAACAAATCACCTGTGCATTGTAGCATTTATGTTGTAGCAAAATTTTCACAGTTTCCATTTGTCACACTTTCTCAGATGATATCTTTTTTAACCTGCTGGGTGGCTTCCGTCTACGCAACATACTATGCCGTAGATGATTGACGGTACAGTCTGTAGAGAAGGAAGACTGACTCGAGAAGCGTGGTAGTGTGTTGCCGGGAGGCCGCTTGCACTAAATCAACCCCGATATTTTTGTAAAAAAAATATCTGTCCGCGTCTCCACTTTACATGCGTTAGTGTCGCTATTCGGATTAGTGTCAGACGAACTTTAATGTAAGGTGTTAAGTTTTTCTTTTTTTCATTTTCTGCATAACCATCTGTTTCCTGTTTTTGTATCTACGACTAATTATTATTCAATTACTGACAGATACAACATCACAACAAGCGATGTACCAAGGAGCTTTAATACTTCAAACAATGATGAGTAAGTAAACTGGAGTATAAGGCGTTTTCACCGACGTGGTTTGAATTTAACTTTAATTTAATTTACTCCATTTTCACTGCATCAATTTTTGCAGTGGGGAAGGACTAGAAAGGAACATACGGACCATTCGTACAAGTCTACCCTCCCGCCCATCCCACCCCAGGGAAGGACATCCATCACACAGTAATCTCGTGCGTGGGAAATTAACGTCTCCTGCCCCAACCCTGCAGGAGACGGGACCTCCATTTATTCGTCCCTATCCGAGAAGACTAGAATATCTAACCATTTCTTGATGTTATAGAAAGGTAGCAAATTCTTCTCAATTATTTTAAGACCCTGAGTGTTGGTCCTGAGTTATTGGAACAAACGAAAGTATTTACGTGAGAAAAGGATTTAGGTATGATGCACGATCCTCGCAGTATATGAACTTCATATATTCATCGTATCTGATTTATCATCACGGGTTTATTACGAATCAACTTAACGGCCTGCTCCCAGTTGGCTTGTTAGCTCAATTGGCAGAGCGCTGCACTAGTATCGCAGAGGTCAGTGGTTCGAATCCCGTACAGGCCTGATTTTTTTTCAGGTCTGATTTTCGCTATTGCATAAATAGCGCTCTCTACTGCGAGGATCGTGCATCATACGTATCTCTAACCGCAGTTCAAAATATATGAACTTCATATATTCATCGTAACCAAAAGGATTTAGACATAATTTGTTTTATGTATGCACCAATATAACTACCTTAAAGTCACGTGAGAACGCCCCAACGTCCTGAGGGCCATAGCTGGAACCGAAATGAAGACATGAAGATCATCCCATTGATGAATTCCTAACCAAATACTCTCTTACCTTCGAGTTTTTAAGCGCGGTCATTACTTTCCAAAACTTAGATTATTTCATGAATAGGCTACAGGAATTATTTAAAACCAAATACACATTGTCACCAGGTTGGCCTGATGAACTTTTAAAATACGTAGCTAAGCAAGTGAAATCCGTGTAAAAGAAGAAGTTTCAAATAAGTCCGTAAGAGACTCAAACTGTTTTTGACATCCGGCACTAAATTCTTTTCCCGCAATTGGTGACATAAAGTGAAGCCAAGGATCAGCAGTATAACCATAAAGCACTATTGCCTTCTTAGCGTAAAAAATGATCCTACAACACTTACCGCTAACGGAAAAGCCAAGCTTCAACTGGCCTTGAACACAGCTCAACTGGGTCGTACATTCCAAGACAGGACACAAGTAATCTACCTGAAGCCAAGAACATCGTTGCCTCAACGATTCCAGAATTCTAAAATCTTCTACATCGGAGGAATGGGAAAGAGAGGAAACATCGTTCAGGCTTATCCAGCTATGGAATATCGCTTCACCCCTGAACGTATCACTGTTTCTACAAATGATGTCTTGTGCTTCGCTTGGTCAGGTGAGTCTGTTTGTAGTGACGTAGTTATGGTAACAATTACACGCTTAACTGAAACATATACATCTAAACCAACCAGCCTTTTCCAGAAACAGAAAATTTCGTGTTATAAGCCCACTTCATGATTATTTGTCTAGATTTCTGCCATATATAAATTTAGTACGAGGCCAGGAATTACAAAAAATTTATCGAGATTGAAAAACTTTGTGATGAAAAATTGAACTTCACAGATTTACATGGATTACAAATGGAGGATTTAGGAAATCAGTTTAAGCGACATTGTTCACGATGCGAAAAATAGCGTTGTTGCTCCTTTGATTCGTATTATAAGACATGCTTTAGATTCCAGGGTCAAAAGGCCATTTTGATGCACATCAAGATGAAATAACCCCCATTATTTTCTCTTTTCTCTACATATTGAACGCTCACAGACTGAATAAGACTAACTTTACTCAATATTAATGATTAAGGCCAGAAAGTTAAATTTTCGTTTTCAATCCCTTCTTCAGGTTCCAACAATAATCCAGACAATGCTGGTGAAGGACAAGCAAGCGAGTAGTTTTGATAAATTTCATTTACTAGCTCTCAATTAAACACTAATGAACAGAGTACATAACCAATGCATCCTATATAGAAACATCAAAAAAAAAAAGAAAAATTATTTTATTCCTGATCTGAAACTGCCAAATAAACATTTCATCTCTTTAATGAATTCTAATTTGACGAAACCCCATAATTTGAATTAATTCTCATGCTTCTGAGGTGTTCTATTCGAGGTAATGCGAAGTATATAGGGGTTGGAACATTCCTCGTATATATCAATATAATATTTGAATTTCTTTCACAATGCCCAAACTTGCTGCGCGCACCCAAACTCGCTATACGCACGTCAAGATGAGAGGAAAAACAGACATAAAAAGAGGATAAAACGATTCTCTATGTCAGCGTCTCGACATTTCCTTCTAAAGCGATTTTGTACCTTTTTAGGATCAGACAGAACAAATGTGTGCTGGGTAAAGGAAGGATGTCAATCTCTTAAACCAAAAGCTTGTTCGAGTCTACCTCTTGAAGTGGTTGATCAGGCTAATGCGTTTTCTGCTGACAAGTTGAATTTTCACCTCAACACTGGATGTTACAGCGGTAACGAAAACAACCTGCAGGCTCAACTGAACAACGCTCCAGCCTCCTGCAACCCACCTTGCTTCCGCATCAGGAAGCCTGGGACATACTGTTACATGGGCACGCGCAATAACAACTTCTCCAACCGCCGTCACATGGGACAGATCACCGTCACTTAAAGTAGTTCATTGGGGTGAATGGAGCTAACACTGTTGGGAATCAATTTTCCGACATTGTAGGGAATTGTTTATGATTCCATTAAACAGTATTTCCCTTAAATTTCCCTGTTTGTCTTTTGATAATGGCTATATAAAAGTATTCGGTTGCATGTCGATTCTTTGACTTTTTGCACACATACTCACTATCAGATTACAGATTACATATGAAAGAGATAACAAAATATACTGATTCGCATTTCCTTAAAACGACGCCTTTATTTGTCAATGTTATAGAATACCTCAAAAATATCCTTCATTAAGAAGGTCAAAACACTGGAAACTCAGATCAACATTGTTGCGGCTTCAAAAGATGGTGGAGACACCTATCGAGCCGATCATTTTCTCGGAGACCTGCAGTTAAGCGAAGCAACAAAATCCCGACTTTCATGTGAGAATTCCGACCACAAAAATTTAGATTTTGTAATCGAAACTCCCCCACACGCTTTCCCACCTCCCCCAAAAATATATACATCAGAGCCAAAGCGAGAGATCTTTGTTGTACCTGTTCCATATGAGCCCGAATGTTTCGTATAGCTGAGGGCCTTCAAGCTTGTCTTACTACCACATTTTATTTCTAAAAAAACATATTTATCGGCACCAGAGAACCCCCGCGCGTTTCCATCCGCCATAAGCGAATGTATTGTGAGAGAGCAGCAGCAGTGTGGAAAAAAAGACAGAAAAATAAACGAATTCTTCTTGCTATCAGATCAGAGGAAAGGTTTTTTTGCGCTCCTTTCTTCACGCAAGACTCGCATTTTGCGCTCACCTCGCCCTTGGATATCTAAATGACTTTCCTTTCCCTTGCGATGTAATAATTAGGGTTAGTTTTAAGATGGCATTCTCCATCTGTATATTCTTGAGATTTGGCAAGACCGAATGAAAAGGCAGAATGTTTCTTCTGTGTGCGCACTGTTTTTCTGCTTTTCTTTTTGGAGTTTACTTTCTCTCCAGCAGAAAATAACTTTAGTGATATGTTTCTCAGTGTAGGTCTTAGAACGCGCAAGTAAATGAATCAGTTCGTAAATTATGCTACCAACATTCTACCAACAGAATGTGCCGTAGCATTACTATCTCTTAGATACCTTAGTCTGTGTATAAAGGAACCTCGTCCCGATTGGAGCAGAACAAAGTATTTTTCTCACTCCTCCCTCGCTTCCGATTTTTCGCTCTTTCTAAAGTATTTGTACATGCTCTATTTAGTGAAAACATCGGTATTTGCTTCGCATGGGGGTTCTTGTCTGCTTCTGTTCAATCAAAACTACTGCCAGGTTAAAGATTGCTCTCTTTGATTTAGTGAGTTCACCGCCAGGTCACCCAACAGAAATGCTCTCCTTGGACTGTTGAGACCCATCTTGGTGACGTGGCTAAAACTGCACAGGCAACCACATACAACTTTCTCCTCTGGGACACTTCTATCTTGGAAAAATGTCTGTGATTGTTAAAATTCCATAAGGTCGGAACGACTAGAAATTAAAGACATTGAAGACCAACATTATGTGTAATAAGAGGCAGGCTGAGTCTGGTACTTGGCTGCCTTCTTTGTGAAACCTCAGTTGCAAATGCCTTTCATTGAGGCTAAGCATACTGCAGAATGTTAAACGATTTATGTTGAAGTTGAGAAACAATGTGAAGATTTTTCACTTGGGCGTTGAGGATACTTGATTAATCTATGCATCCAGAAACTTCTCGGTTTTCTCTATGAGTGTTATCAGACTATCGATCTCCTTCAGAAGGCCAGTTCAAAAAATTGTTGTTTTGCTTGTAATACAGCTCTTTAGGGGCCCTTTGTGTTGGGGGATTTTTTTCAGGTTATTGCCTTTTTTTTACTAAAGTAAAAGTGTACTTTATGCAATTAACAAATTTAGCGACTTTCGTAAACACTCGATGGGGATGGATATTTTACGCAGCCGTTCCTGGTGGCACGTTCTTCCGAAGCTGTCACATACCAGACCGAGAGGCTTAAGAAATTTCCTTGCAGTTGAGAGTCCATATAAGGCCAGCTACAAATTTCATCTAAACCGCTCCGGCTTCAATCACAAAAAGTGTTTCACTAATTGAAAGTACAACTATCGTTTTATTACGATCATTGTTCAGAGTGAGAACAAAATGAGAGCCATGGAGGACTCGACGAATGTGAACACACGCATAAGAGGGTGTCAGTGGGATTTAATCGTCAGTTGCCAAACTGCCTAAAATCAAACGGGCAAAAAAGGATATATTTAAACAGGCAACCGTCAAAATCTCAGCTTAAAATTAACCGTCCAACGATTTCAATGGTTGCACGGTTCTAGATCTCGAAGATCAGGTAGCAGACAAGCGCTTTAGTACGGGCGTTATGCGAGGGTCTCAATACGGTGGTAGCTTTAACGGTTTGGGCTTTCGACAGTTGGCGTTTATGAGGAAGATGCATCTTCTCTGAGTGAGAATCTGTGTGATGCTATCTATTTCTTCCTTAATATGTGAATTATTCAGATAAATTCAGAGTTTCACTGACCAAAAGGAGAAAAGACTAGTTAGTTTCAAACAAGATCTTAGTTTCCGTTTATTATATGTACAAACAAAATTTTCGGAACTTTTGCAGTAATGATTCCTCTGGCCCTTAACGTTGTATAGGAAAGGTAACATTCTGTGAGTATACAAGAACCTCAGTAATAGAGAAAAAGATAGAGAAGGCTAATATACTGATTGTGAATAGTGAGTCCCCTGCGGGAAATAAAAAAACCAACAGAAGCTTAAGTTCATTTTAGGTGATTTAAATCGAACAACTATTCCAGCCCGTTGTGGATTGTCATGGGAGTACACGAACTTGATTTTAGCGTGTTTGAGTACCTTTCCTATCCATGGCGCTCACTGAGGAAAATACTCCAAAAATCTGACTGGATATCTTTGATATCTTGAGCGAATGAACTAAGCTTATTGTGGTTTGCATAATCAAGGCAGTAATTGTTCTTTATGAACTTGCTTTGCGACTTTGGCTTAGGTAATAGGGACTTTAAGCAAACCCCGACGGCTACGGCAACGAGAACGTGGTAAAACAATAGATCTAATTGGCACAACAATCATGGCCCAGCACGTGCGTTTTCAAACTTTGTACATTTCTTAGCCGTCCTTTGCAAAACAACAACGTGAAATCACCAAAATTTGCGTCGTCTGTGAAGCTAAACCGCGGCGGCAGATTATTTTACTGATTTACATTTGGAACTCAACGCTACTTTTATGCGTTATGTTGAGTTTGAGGTCTGGCGCCCTATGAGACGGTAAACACATCCAGCCATTTTCGAAATTCTAACTAAAAGTAGAAAGTCATTTTTTAATCGACGTCTTCCGTGGCGTTGCCGTCCTGACTGCTTAAAGTCCCTAATAAACAAGGGTACAGTTAAATGAGGGTCTTAATGGGGCTAACCGTTAGCCGTAAAACGTCCAAAAAATTAGGCTTTAGGCGTAAAAATTGACAAATTTTAACCTTTAGTCGTAAAGAAAGTAACCGTAAAAAAATTGCTGGTGACCACAATGGAAAGATACGAACTGATCGTCTAAAAGCCATCATCCCATTGAGACTCTCTTGAAATTAAATAGATACCGCAAAATGCACAAGAACTGGACCGTGAAAAAGTAGAGGAAGGTCACTTTAGTTGCTTTTCGTCCACCTTCACTCGTTTTTCACTTACTTACATCTTTTTCTCAATTTTTTAATCTGTTGATAACATGACGAGCCTTGCAGGAATTTTAAGATAGCATCTCAGAAGTTAATAAATCTTAACTACAACGGTTATTTTTTTTCTTTCGTCAGGAACATGAAGGCCATATCCACCTTTTGGTTTTTGCTGTCAACCCTCCTTTATCTATGTTGGGCGGACAGATTGAACCGGAACGGAGAAAACGTGGAGAATGAGGACAGGCTCTTCGACTCTCGGGTGGGTGTTTTTGCGGAATCTTTTTTTTTTAACATCTCACTTTTTATATGGATCAAAATCAACAAGACAAAGTTTTTCGGGAAGCATGCAATTGATTTCTTACGCTGCATATGCCTGAAGTCAACCAAGACCTCTACTTTAACTGGATTTCAAATGTCCCGTGGAAACAGTTCCCTTTTCGGCATGATTGCTGATCTCTACACTGGGCATTGAATTGAAAGCTAAATTTTAGTTTATGTAGACAAAAATTATGTTTGTAGATAGTAATGAATATGTTCGTGTATTACTGCTGGCGAGCCCTAGCGAGGCAGTAGCCTATTCTCTACAATAGCGAGAAAAAGCCAAAATTTGTCGGATGTAAGATCGGAGAAATGCGCAGACGATTGCGTTTTTTATATCCGGGGTACTTGTGTTGACATCACGTAAAATGCACGTGAGAATATCGATCGATTTAGAGCAATAGCTGGGTGCAGCTGACCCGCTCTACTAGAAATGAAGGACACGATAACTGATCGAGGTGAGTTTTTAGTATAGATGTCTTTAATTGCTTGTGGAAGTATTCATCAAGGTCACCAACGGTTTAGTGATGACTCGTGGAAGACAAGAGACATTTGTGTTTGGCTGCTTTATTATGCCAGCAATTTTTGCCGATTCGCGAACGCCGGATGTGCCAAGATATCGATCAAGTCCTACTTCATGGAGTTCATCAGGTTTCCTGGTTAACACGAGTTCTGGCATTTGTTGCGCTCTTTTGTTAACTCAAGAAAATAATTTTGGGGCTCTGTTGTTGTGTCACAAAAGCCTTTTAAAACTAAACTAGTTGGAAAAGTCGTAATTCTCTTTTAAAAAGCCACACTAACCTCTATTATACCGTTTATTTCAAATCGTATCAGTATTTCCCTCAAGCTCTGACGTCAGCACCCACTTTCGCATTGTAACTTTTAATATAAATGTATATATACAGGATATACCCGTTTTCAAAAACCTTACAAACTAGCGAAAATATATATTAAATATTTAATAACTATTCAACGAGGTGAAGGTGGTTAGTGATGGATAGTTACCGAGTCGCGAAGCGGCGAGGTAAATATCCACCGCTAACCACCTCCACTTCGGTGAATATTTGTTTTAGTATATACTAAACCAG